TTTCCCTATGAGGTCATGCAAAGCTTCTAGCAGCTCCAGGGACCATGTCCCACCCAGGGGGCAAAATGTCACAATGTCTCCAGCAAAAGCCCTAAACTTACTCTAATGACCTTGGTTTGGGACACAGGACACTGAACCAATCACTGGCCAGGAGAATGCCATGTGCCAACTGACTTAGGCTTGTGTCATATGCCCCACCCCTAACTCCAAGAAACTGGAAATAGGGAAGGCACCCAAAGAAAATTAGGGGCTATTGCTGGTAGAAGGGAGGATGGCTGTTGAGATGTATTTATTCCACACGTATTGTGTGCCACATACATTATTTCACTGAGTCTCACAACATTCCTGTCTATAAGGTACGATGGGCCGCTTTTGTAGAAAAGGGAACAGGCTCAGAGAGGTTAAGCAATTTACTTAAGGTCACAGAGCAAATTCTAAAGTTACTTATATCAGTGCAGCCTGCTTTGGTGTGAGGGTAGGAAGTCTGTGCACAGGTTAAAAGTTGGTGCTGTGGGGGAGGAAGAAATTTTCCTCTACCCACAAGGTTCTTTCTGCTAGTTTAATAATCAAATAGACATGAGACAGATTAGTGAGAGAAAATAACCAAACTGAACACATACATATGTATGGGAACCCGGCATACATGAGAGAGTCAGAGACCTCACATACACGAGAGATTCAGAGCCAGAAAGGGAACATGGGTGTATACGACACCCTGAGGTAAGGATGAGGTAAGGGGCTCCCCAGGATCACTGCAGGGAGAACAGATGTTTAGTATTACTAGTTTGCCCTGCCTTACAGATAGGGCAAAAGAGGTTATCTCTTATTATGGGAAGGTCTGGGATTTAAGTTCATCTAGGTAGTAAGGGAGGGGCAGAAGTTTCTCTTGAGCCTGAAGCTAAAATTGCCTTTAGCTCAAAATAATCCGCATACCACAGGGGCACATCTTGAGATGACTGGTTCTGAACCCCCATAGTGCAAAAGGAGAAAACGGAGAGGCAAACCAGAAGAGAAATTCTTCAGAGAGCGAAGTACACTCTGCATAGAGACTTTTGCTGGAACTCTTGGGAATAAGATTCACTCTCTCTTCTGGGACCACTGAACAGGGAGGGCGTGGGCCTGGAACTGCCAGGGGCGACCATGGGCAGGGCGCCCATGAAAGAGAAAGCAGCACGGAGATGAGCAATGCCAGCTGGAGGAGAATGGTTCCTGAGAATGCGGGTTGAGGTCCTGGATCCATTTGCTCCTGAAACGGGATCTATCCATGAACTTTTCAATTACAGAAGTTAATTAACACCTTCCTTCACTTGGCTCAGCTCCAACTGGGCTTCTGTCATTTGCAAATGAAAGGGCCCTGACTCATCTAGACAGGATGCTGTGGAGCACCGACCTTCAACAAAGCCCACCTTCAGGCACTTACATAAGCCACGTGCGGTACCACACGCTTCACATGTGTTTGGTTCTTACTGTGACCCTGAGTAAGTTTTTCTCATTATCACCTTTTGCAGATGAGGCTCAGAGAGGGCAGGTTGTCAGACCAAGCAGGGTGCTGGTGCTCTCTCCGTGAACACCAAGGCAACCTCTGCTCCCAAGTGCCTCCTTCCATCCCCGCCAGATCCCTCCTCAGACCTTTGTGTCCACTCTGAGCAGGGCAGGCAGCTGAAGCCACTCAGAGTGCACTCACCTGCCAGACCTCAAACTGGGGCTGCTGGTTCTGGGGCTGTGGGCAGTTCCATGGCTGGATCTAAGCTGAGCCCCTCTTCTTAAGGAAACAAGGGCTGTGTGAGACCAAGGGGTGGATGCTTGGAGCATCCATGGGGACTTGGAACTCTGAGAAAGAAGGGAAGGAATGTAGGGCCTCTGGCCTCCTCCCCCAGGGCCCTCCTGCCTACATGCTTGGGGTCCCTGTCCCTGTCTGTCTCTGCAGACACCTTGTGGGCCTCTGAGCGTTTCTCACCCTCTCCCACCTGATTCTCAGCCTCCCTAATTTTCTTTCTACTTCCCGGTACCCCCAGCACCCCGCACCCGAAGCCCTGACTCTGGCCTCCTTTCTCCCTGCTGCTTTCGTTTTTTGCCCGAGTCTCGGTCTCTCAGCCACTCCCCCCCTCTCCTTTATTTCTGCATGTCCCTGGGTAACCCGTCCCCTTTCTCACTCTCTCTCT